TTTTCCATTTGAATCCTTTTTGAAACACGCCACACGCACCTCCACCTCCATTCATTCAGCAGCTTATTGAACGCGACATTGTCTATACAATCGAGAGCAGGGGGGAGGGGGAGACACTACACGTCGTGTTGTGGTCCTCTCACCAGACAGCCCTTAAGATCTACCGACCGAGGTGGGAGGGAAGGCTTGGCTGGGTTGAACGGGTGATCTTCAGATTTCGACCCTACGACAGCGCGCGCAGTATCGCCTCATTTATCTCCTTATCACCTTCACCATGGTATTCAAAGTACCTGTACGATTTTGGAATGCGGATAGAGCGCATGGCGCTGATCAACGTCTACATGCTTTTATCGTCGGAAAATATGTGCGTATGGTTTGAAAAAGTTGTGACCTGTGACCTAAAGACTACACAAGTCACATCCGGATGACTATCGAGGGGTATTTTTAATTTCATTCACATTTTCGCTAAACTTTCGCTTCATCAAAAGCTAGAAATAAATCCGTGATGGTAGGAGGTAGAGGCAAAAAAGACGTTGGCGTTGTTTGGCTCAGGAGTGGGGGGTGGGGCATTTTTGGCCACTCGTCCGTTGGTTTCTTTTGTTAGTTCCTGTAAAGCAGATGTCGTCTTGGCAAGACTTGTAGACTCTTGTCCCATGTGAACGAAGCTCCTGCTACTACATAGCTTTGGCAGAAATCATAAGTCCCCACAGCAGTGATCGATGGGAAGCAGCAAAATGCCCCACCAGCCAAACTGCGCCGAAAACTGTTTAGGCAGATGGTTTCAGAAAATATCGGTGACCTTTGGGTACAGTAATTAGACGGTCGCTCAAATCCTTTTATAGTGGATACCGCTTGTGTGTCGGGGGGTGTTGACTGATCTGATACCTTAATTGCCTCTTTGATTTCTGACCTGAACAACGCAATCAGTATTTAAATGGCACCGCCGGGCCCTTTTACACTTTTTTTTCAGCCGAAACCTGCTCGGAACGTCGTAAAAATGCAACAGTGCGATCGAGACCAAAATTCTGGTACCATTAAAATTCCCAAAAAATTCACAATGTGAAGATTTTACCTGTATCAAAGCCCTCAGCCTGGGCAGTTCAGCTCAATCTGATCCCGGAACGGTTAGGCGTCCCGTCTTGCGATTTTTTTTATATGTCTCGCGAGGTGAAAGTTCAAATGCTGTCGAGACGGCTCACCCGGGCAATCACGGCCAGCTTGAATTTTCGATCCATTCCTGAATTTTGACTTCCGGTAAGAAGTTCAGCGTTGTGAGGAGCTAGATCTTCACCAACATTTAGTACACCTCCATGAGAAGAAGAGGGTGCAAAAAAAAACGGGAACAGGCACGAGCGATGAATGAGACCGTCGATGGGTGACATAAAGACAACAAACGAAAGAATGAGCAGGCCGCTGACCCGGGAAGGGCACGCAGCTGGCGTGGTCCGGTATGGGGACCTACCCAGGATCGCAGCGGAGGAGGGGCGCCAGCCGGCCGAGGCGTGCCGAACTATCGGCTGCGTGACGCGGCTTGAATCGATCACGAGGCGCCGGCGAACCGGTCGGCTGCGCCAGCCGCCGCGCTTAAAGCGATGCAGACGGCTGAGCGGCGCAAAAACTGAGAGTAGCCAAGCAGCCCGAGTGGTCTGACGTGATTTTAATCGTCTGCGCTAGCATTTCTTCCTGGATGCCCTATGTGAACCACGGTGGTTTTTTATGTTCTTGGCGCAGTATAACAAAGCTATAAGATCCAATTAGCAATTTCCGCGTCTTAAAGACCTGAAAATGCAGCTTTCCAAAGCAGAGTCCAGCTCATGGGGATGGGGAGACGGACAAGACAACCGTCAACCCTGGTTTGTAGCTCCTCCGCGGGCGGCGTACCGTGCTTGCGTGCGCGATAGTTCCTCGATATTCAACAGATTACCGATTGGAGCTGCGACTCTTCAGAATTAAGTAAAGGCGAGACTCCATGACGGGCTATATAGAAATATCCCATTGCGTGATACTCATATTCAACCGGCCAGGCAGGGCGACTTGTCCGTCGCGCACGGGACCGCTCGCCACGCCCTCCAGCGCGGCATATTATGATAGTCTTGTCACATGTCCGGGGATTGTCTCTGAGGAGGTCAACTCCTCCACAACCACAGTTTTCCACTTTGCACTATTAGTTGGTGGGTCGTTTGTCCCGTTCTTTTCGTGTACAAGGTTAGCAGGTCCCAACCGCAGAAATGTGCCACTTTAGCACCCGGAAATGCGGGCCACAGGTTTGTGGTTCTTGACGTTATAGACGTCTGCACCCACTGTTTGATGCGCCAGACGGCCACGTCAGACGAGCTGCTCGACTGCACCCTCTTCCTTCAAATAGTGTCCGATGAGTTTGAGTTCGGTGAGGCTTCTTCCTATTTCGGATCTGAGATCTGAAACCACCACGAAAGAAGTCCCATCGGCCCCAGTTCAAACCTACCGAACACTCTCTCGGTGAGAGGGCGCAGTCGAGCAGCGCATATGCCGTATGGTACGAGCATTGGGCGGAGACATCACCATCATCAAACAATCACAAACGTCTGGGTTGACTGCCATGCCCTGTCAAGCAACTCAGCTGGTACACTTTGCACCCGTCCTGCCCACCTCGTACAGAGGAGGACTTTCTCATTAGAGGAAATCGTATGAGGGGTCTTTGAATTCGCTGGCACTCCTGTAGTAAAATAGAAACAGAATCTCACAGGTTTAGTCAGATGATTGACAAATGTGAAGAGAGAATCAGAATGATGACAAGAATAATGGCAAATTATGTTACCAAAATTGATAATTACAATAGTGTACATGCTGAAAGAGAAAAAAATCAATAACAATTAGCACAAAAAGTGCACAACCGGAAACAACACCTATTAGTTGGCATTAATACGGGAAACGATAACAGGAAATATGAAAGAGCCGTACTGAACAAGACCACGTAGTCGTTAATAAGGAAATTTAAGAAGAGATGGGGAACTTCACACATGTCTCTACATTTTACTCGTCATCCTCTTCCCCGTCTGAGGGCTTATACTCCTCGTCTTCCTCGACGGGTTTCTTCTTTGGCACCTCCACTTTGTGAGACTTCTGATGAAACACGAACGAAATTACACCACAGTTGAAAACGGATCGCAAAATCGGATCAGCAATCTGGAAACGATGTTTTCAACACTGTAAAACCAGACGTCCCCAAGTACATCCCGGAGCGGAGTGAAAAGCCACTAGAATGAACTAATCTAACCTTGCGTGGATCTCGCTGTGAGTGATGCCACACGGCCAAATCCGATGTGCAGTCTGCTTCTTCTGGTGGATCGACGCTTTCTATTCCGTTGAGACAGCGCTTACATTTTAGCCTAAATAATGTCCATTACGGTGAATCAGAGATCAAACAAGGCGAAAGTGCCGGTAGGTGTGGATTCTTCGCTGACTGGACAACCCAATTCTCAATCAATCCTCCCTGCACCCAAAAGCTCAAAAGTGGTCCACTTTGGAACATCCATTGCATACACATATCGCGACACTCAAGACTTTCTCATCACTTCCACCATCTCTCACTCTCGGTCTCTCTCTCTGCTCTCTCTCTTTCTCTAAAATTCATAGTCATGTCGCGCCAGAATGTACATTCGCAGAATGCATCCACTTTGGTCACTTGAAAAGGTGATGCCAGGGACTCGTGATCTGTTCCTGTCCGGGCGCTGTTGTTTCGGGAAACTCCTAGAAGAGGTTGCCTGGCACGGTTAACTACCGCTGCTTTGTCATCTGGAACATCGTGGGGCAGTTCCATAAGCGCTTTCAGAAGTTGTCAGTGAGCAGACTTTTGCTGACCGCGCTCCTGTTCACACTCTACTATTCTGAATAGTAACAGCAACAGAGGTCAGCAGTCCACGGGTTCAGCAGAGGAACTTTCCCTCCAGGCTACCGATTTTTCGGTATAAAGTCAGCAAGTCTCACGCCGGCGTACTCGTTCAGTGTCCAAAAAGGGTGTTACTTGGGGATTTTCGACAGTTTCCCTGTTTGTTTTGCACCACTGATCCAACTATCACCGACATCTACATTCCTTTTTGAGCTCCACTACCCGCCGCGATTGCAATCGCGGACGGTTGTCTTGAGAATGCATAAGAAGTGATATTGACAAAACAAATACTCCAGCGAAAATTCTCAAAAAATGAAGTCAGTGTAGCACAAAATACTGTACATCCATCTAGGACTCACTTCATGTGCGTATCCGAGGGAGTATCTGCTTGGAGATTGAACAACTCCTTCAACTGATCGGAACTGAAGTGTCGAGCAACATCCTGTCCAGCATCCACTACACACGACGAAAGGGCTTTCTTATGTGTCTGGCGTTGGAACATTTTTTCCTCGATCGATCCAGTCTGTTTAAGCAGTTCAGTAATAAACTTGTGGCTACTGAGAAGATTTTCGAAGGGCACTCACTGCCAGTAATCGATAGATGAAACAATTCTTTTTCTGTCCATCGCGCCACACACGAGCCATCGCTTGGTCGTCATTCGCTGGATTCCAGTCAGGGTCGAACATTACTAACCTAGAACGGTACAATCTGGGTGCAAAAGTAATTGAAGAAATGACAAATACAATACTCATCTAGTTACAACTATGCATTCGAAGAAACATCTTACCTATTTGCTCCTATCAAGTTCAGACCACAGCCGCCAGCTTTGGATGACAAAAGGAAGCAAAATTCGCTGCTCTGCAATCAGGAGGGTATAAAATGTTCTGAAGGCAGATACCACTCTCAACGATTTCGCAGGATTCGCCCTTTGCTCAAGTAGTCTGGGACGTAATCTCGAAAACTGTCCCACTCTCGCGGCTCCACAGTGAGTAAAAAGGGTGCTGCGAGCATCATAAGTTGCAGTTATATACTGCATACCGTACGGCATACCGTATAAAGCTGCAACTTATGATGGCCGCAACGCTCTCGTTACTCACTGTGGAGACATCTTCTGCATCGGACTACTTCGGCAAGGACCGAATCCCACGAACTGGTTAAGCGCGGGGTCTATCTTTAACAATTTTAATAATGAGAGACGCCTCAGCACCAAGGCCGCGTTAAAAATAGAAATGAAAAGCATCCGCAATTTTGAGAAATTGGTCTCAACGACTAGATGGCAATCAGCTGACTCCGCCAGCAATGGAATGGTCTCTTTTCCGAAAACGCTAGTAGGACGGGATCAAGTAACTTAAATCTAATCCTTTGTTATCAGTCCTTCGAAATCGTGGATACTCTTTGTTCGCATAGTATAAATGCGCCTAGCTCATTCACGTTCATGTACTAGTACCTCTGGATCATTGAACTTCTCGACCGTTTTTGAGCGCTGTTTGATCGACATGGACCCGTCAAGACGAACGTAGCCGTAGCCTCGAAGTTTGCAAAGCTACAAAATCTATTTTTTGGGGAGAAGAAAGCCGAAATAAGTGAAGAAATCGTAATAACCTCAACGAACTGATCAATAGTCTGGGTGTAATTCGATACCAGCACAAACTTATCATTACATGTCTTTCGAGTCACTGCTAGGATGTAGTCCAGAACCTAAACCATCGGAACCTACGCTAGACAGATTTCACACCCAAACTCGAATAGCCGAAATACCTTCATTTTACCGGATGTCGATGGGTCAAACTTCCTGCTGAACGATTCAGGGAACAAATGTAGACAACCTGAATGTTTCAAAGAAATTCGATAGCCGAACTCTGAGTAAAAAAAAACGCCGCTGCTTTACTCCACAACTGTAGAAAAAACTCACAGACTTAACATTTTCAAAGAAGCAAGTGCGTACGCACAGAGGAGTCGGGGGACACGCCACAGGGTTTTTACAGCCTACATCTTGGCGTTGGAGAGAAGAGTCCCCCGCGTATTTAGCTGTCAGCGCGGCGGCGCGTTACCGGTCCAGACAGAGGGATGACAGGTGCATGCAGACTTTCTTGTGCCGATCGTTCTCTCTTACACACTCGTTACCGGAAACTCCGAACCTCAACTGGCAACCATAGCGCCGCCGGGCTCACAACTAAGCCCTCGCACTCCACCTCCGACGTCAATGTATGTCTTGAAAGCTACATCGAAGAACAACGCATTTTGCCGCGTGCTAGCTTCAGTGTCTTCCTTGCAAGGCATTTCCTGGCTGTGCAGCGTTACTTCCAGGTTCTTGCAACGCAGTTATCTTGGGAGGTAAAGTCGACACGCAGCGCTGCTGCCATATTAAACGGGTAGGGTCCTGGTGAGACATACGCCATCCCTCTTGGGTCTATTTCGCCGCAATTGGCATGAAACGCTCTACACTCCCTTCCTCTGTATCAAGTAGAGAAAGGCGGTAGAGCCAACCTCAAAACTCACTAGTGAAAACGATCTGTCACGCGTTTCTGTAGTCCTCATAGGACCAACAATAGGATGATTACATAGCTTCGTTGAGTATGAGTGATGAAAGGACAGGCGGCCATGGCCGTGGCCGCGCCATTTTTCCTAAACTTTTCTCGAGCACTCACTGAGTTATGGTTCTTTAAGTGTTTTTCCAATCATACCTTGTCCCTTTCCAGTTCTCGGTTTTTCTTCTCCGTTTCTATGAGTTTTTTGCTATAATGCGTATCTTAGTTAGTCCGTATTGCGACACATATTATGTGTTCTATATTTCACCTGCCAAAAAAAAGAATAGATAGCACAATTGAACTTATCCTACCCCAAAATGCTCAAAAAACAAATTGCGCTAAAAACGTTGCCGGAACTATAGGTGATTAACTCGATATCGTCGATCACGAAATTATCACAATTCGCCTTCTCAGGAGCCGCTTTAGCGTCATTCTATGGTCCATTATGCGCCTAGTGGCGCCCACACTTTTTTTCACCAATGTCGATGAAAACACTGTGTGCCTATACCGGGTTAGGGGTTATGGGGTTGCATATGAAAACCTTTGCATAATGTGCGGGTTGCTGCCTTTTCGATTTTTGATCATGCCTCTGTCCAGTTACACGAAAGAGGGGTGCGCCACCAGAAGACACAATGGTTATTTGTCTTCTGCTCATTCGAATTGATCGCGAGTGTGTCTTGTGAAGCTGTGCAGAAAACATCTCTTCTCCGCCAATGTTCCTCAGTATTTTCTCTTAAAAACAAAAGACAAGGGATCCACGCAGTTCTGCATAACAAAGCAAACGACGGTTAGTACTTCGTTAGCAAAGCACTTGTTCTCCTGATAATACATTTTTCCACCAGCGCAATCATTTCCTTTGTCGCCTCCTCCCCTTTTTTCTGTTCCTCATCTGTGGCATTTCCATCGCGACCCCTAAATAGCTCATTTTCTGGCTGGCTTGAAGGACAATCCCCCGGTCTGCAACATACGACAGCAGAATTGGGTTTTCGAATACGCTTTTTTGAACTCACTGCGTCACCTACCGAACAATCCAGGATTTACAAAATTTACCAAACTGAAAACTACGCTTGATTGACCAAATTTGTAATTATTTTAAGGAACTTTGGCGCTGTTCGGCTTGGGAGGGGGGCGCATTTTGCAGCTATTGCAACAGTCTACTTCCTTTTGGCGCTAGTACCTATCTGTCAAAACTTACAAGTCATTACCTTGATGAGATACCTGTCCTTTGTCGGTAGTCGCTATAATCGATACTGTTGTACTGCATAGCTTCTAACAGGCGATTCTACGGTCTCGTCTCCGACGGAGGCATACTCTACGTCCAGTCCATCCAATGGGGAACTTAGCCCCCACCAAGCCAATTTGGTATAACTTATTATACATGCAGCTTTACCTGGACATATTCAAGGAGAATCATCTCTGTATCGGAGTCCAGAAATTCAATACTCGCCGCAGAACATTCGAAGCGCCATTTGCAGCAGCCTGATAGGTTAGCGTTGCTCACTTGTTTTTCAACACGATGCACGCCTGAAAAATGTGCCAGTGCCTCAGAGAAAAGATTGCAGTCGTAATTAACACTTACACATATATCACAGAATCTTTCTGGGTATTGCTGAGGGTTAGGCAGAAGGAGCGTTAGCTACAACTTCAGCCGCGCCGACAACTTACAGTTTTTGACTGTACTTGAAGCCTGGAATTTGGAGGAAACAGGAAACCACAAGCTGACGACGGTGCAGCAAAGTCACGCGCACAAGAAGAGACACACACTGCGACATACACCTCACTTCGCCTCCGTTTTCTCAATAACTCCGAGTCGGTTTCGGTAAATATTCGGCACAGTCCATGAGTAAACCTTCATGGGTGGTCGCGGGTCTGTCGTGTCAGACGGGTGAAGAGCCACAAATGAGGGGGGGGACTATCGTACGTGCCACTGCTACAGGGACAGTGATCCCAAACTCAGTTAATGAAAAAAGTACACGGTCAAAGCTACATGGCCTTGTTCGCGATATCCGCATAGGTAACGGGCAGCGGATCCTCAATCGCGCTCCCGCGTCGTGAAGCCCCTTCCCAACTACCGAATGAACGTCAGAATAAGTCACCTTCATTCGACAGTCCCATTTTCCAATCTCGACTTGAATGAAGAATTTTTGCAATACACAATCGGCGAACAGTCATCCATTAGGAGCAATGATGAGCACAGGACTGGCAGCTCTTACTCGTCCATCAGCCATATAACCCTCTAAATATTGTCATTGATGTATTTACAGTAAAACGCTGAAAAGGACCGGATTTAAACAAATATAATTTACCTACTAAGTTTGCTCGTTATCTCCTGTTTACTGCCGGAATCCATCGGCAATGCGTTGCGTTGATCCTTTGGCCTAGCCATTTCTTGATCTCTTTATCCCAGTTCTAAAACGAACTGCAGGAACATCACGAAGGCGAAGTTGGACCGCGTTCATACTCCGCGACTGGAACGACTCTGCCCGCTTTCAAAATCGTGCCTTCGCGACCGGCCGCACTACATCGCTAATCGTTGGACCGCTGCGATTGCTAAATTTATATAGTTGAGGACAATTTTCCTTTTGATCGTTCCAGCGGCTCAACGACTGGCTATGGAGCATGGGTGGACGCAATCGCGCTGCTAAATCGCTCGAGTCGCGAAGTATGAACGTAGTCTCAGAGGCAGAATTTAGAAAGACTGCTTTACCTTGACTAAACTGCTGGGGCTCACGATGATCACCTTGGAAATAGTCGGTTTGCCTTCGGGGCTTTGACGAAGCAGGGTATATAGTAAAGTAATACACTGTAAAGTCTTTCCAAGACCCATCTCATCAGCCATAATACAGCCATGGTACCTTAATAACCCTTTTGTACTATGAAGTAACCATTTGGATGACGATAGTAGGATCTATCCTGGCGCGAAATACCACGCATGAGACGCGTGCGGTCGCGGCTCGGCTCTACTGCACACCTACCTGCGCCTATGATAACGGCGGTCATTGGCATTCTAGGCAATATACCGGTGAAGGAAATGGCTACAGCACAAGCTGCGAAAAACACATACTGTTGAGCACGCGCAAGCTCGGCCGGAAAGCAGTGAACCTGCAACGCGACCGCGCGCGTCTGATAACGGCGTTTTCACGGGTACGTTCAAATGATGGAGAACACGATGTAAAATCTCACCCTTCAATATTCCGTCCAGTAACGCAGTTGTACATAAATTGCACCCCTTCTATTTGATGTGGCCGTAAAATATTGCCTACAACTGGGTCAACGACAACATGGACCTGAAATGTCTTCTCTGTGACATGGTGCTAGGGTACTAACTCGAAATCTACAAGTTCTCACTAATTTGTCTTCTTCTTTCAAATTCATTTGCTCATGTGCCAGACAGAGCAGGGGGTGTGTATAAGACCACAGCATTCTCAGCATAAGGATCAAACATGGCGACACGCATTCTGGACCGAGCCATTCCCAGAACGCGGCCAGATACTAAAAAAAGGAGTTCCTTAGGGTCCTAAGCAAGCTAGAGAAAGGAACTTACAAGAGTAACCAGCCAGTGGTATTGTGAAAGGCCTGGAAAGAAGCCGAGCAATCATTGCCTCGTGTTCGGCCGCATCTCGAGTCATCATAGCGTTTCGGTCGATCAGCTTCAGTCGTTGTGGATCTATGACGTCTTCTCTTTCACTGTTGAAAGGATTCTGAAGGATGCCTGAGCTTTAATGGTGGATAGCACAGTCCACGCTGATCTTGTGTGCGCAGTCGGGCCTATCATTGTGCTTTCTTCATTAAAGTGCCCCTTCTTTCCTCTTCGTCTCAAAAATGGGGGAGCACAAACGTTAGGTGTGACTGTGCCCAAATCACCTTCGTGGAATGTGCCTTTAAGTCCACCAGCCTACTTCCATTGAAATTGGGGAATAATCCACAGTAAGGGTGGCTGTAGTCAAAACTTGAACTAGTAACCTGTATCTTCATCAATTTTTTCCTTTTCCTCCTGGCGCCCTCTTCAGGTGATTTTGGCACCATCAATGGACTACGAAATTGCTCATGAATAACAGGAGGCGGCGAAGCGCCGATCCTTGCCATTCCAAGGCTGCGACGTTTAATCATCTTCCAATCGCTCTCAGTCCGCTACCATTGAGCCGGTTTTTCCTGGAATAAGCCACCAAACATGAAACAGACAGATATGGACTGTGTGAACCGGTTTTCGTGCATCACACAGCAGAACATGTATGAAGATGGCATTCAGAAAACGAACATTATAACTTCATGCCTTTCCTGCACTCCTCTTTCATTGTCATGAATTTCTTTCTCAGAATCAGAGTTTTCACCACCTGATCTTATAATGGTCGCCTAAGAAACTTTTCCACTTTGAAGAGAGCCAAGAAACGTCAAACGCACAAATGAGAATCATATGGAGCCTGTTATTTTTTTCGAAAATGTCCACGGAAGTCTGGAGTTCGGACGGGGGGGGGGGGGGGGGGAGGGGGGCGGCACACTTGCGAGCCGACTACAAGCTGCCCGCTGATTACAGTCCTCGTCACCATAGTAGTGGATCTTTTTTCTCTCATAGCGTCCGCCCTAGAAGAGTGCTTAGCGTGAGGCGTTATACACCAGTAAAATAAAACAAACGACCAAAGTGAACGACCTTTCGCCGGGTCTGCCTCCCTCCCTAATCGTACTTTCGCTGCAGTTGTTTTGTCACTACTACAATTACGCCGTTTTGTGTCCCACGAGCTCGGTTTCACGAATAACCGCCGCTTAAGTTCACCGTGAGAGCATAATGCTGCGTTCTTACTTCGCGATCGGCGTATGAACAAAAAGGACAGCACAGTGCGCCAGTAGCACAGATGTCGCGATGGGCACCAGTCGCAAAGCGTTTTGAGCATTTGGGAGAATCAGCGTTTTGGCGCCGACCGAGCGACACCTCTGCTTTCTTTTCGCTCAAAACCGTGCCTCTCCCAAAACGCAAGCCGACTATCGCCGATCGGTACCTATGCTATCCCTTTCGTTCAAAACGCTAGTTCCCTAAAACGCTGATTCGCAAAGTCTGAACGCAGCCAGGGAAACGTGGTGAGACACGCGCGGTTGCGCAGCGTGTGCGCAAAACAGTGAAATCGGAACGGGGTTCTCGTGGCATCTATAGGTACTTTGGTACTCAGGCAGCCATTATCGGAAAACATCTGTAAATTGAAGATCAGCTTACAGTAAATAGATAGAAATAGATGGAAGCTAAATGGAGAGAACTCCTGAATCGTTGCGCACATCTAATCACTCAAGAAACATATACCATGGTTAAGTCACTCAAAGTTAGAACAATAATGTTAGATTATGTGCAATAAAGAAGAGCCAAGAAAGGCTTGGATAGGCCCGTGGGTGAATCTGAGCGGCGCAGTGGCTAACGCGCTCATCCTGCCGTCCTGATTCCACCAAATTGTGTGTTCAGTTCCGGCCGGTGTCCCTAGTTTTGCACAGAACCTGGCACTTGCACGGATACCATCCAAATACACTATCGAACTAAAGGATCCGAAAGGTTGTTGAAGAAGCTTGAAAAACATGACGAAAGGGACAACGAAAGGATTGGAAGTCCTGAGGATTTGAGACTGTCAATTTTCATAGAAAAATGGAAACAAAGGATCACTAAAGTAGCCCGGAATACCTCCAAAGATTTCTTTGCCCCAATCTGTAAAAAAAACGGTGAAGACACCAAAATTTCACTAAATTGTGGAGGAAATGTTCATAATTTTAAATTTCGCTGAAATGTTGGCTCTCGGCCAGCCGTGTCGCCTGCACAT